CCACGAACACAACATGGTTTAAATCCATATAGAGCGCAACGCTCATAGTAAAGCAACTCATATCCTCTTCTACCTTTGATAGATTTGCATTCACTCAAACGCACCTTTTGCTTGACATCTTTTACAGTGTGACACTCTTCGCTTAGTCTTCTTAATTAACCCAACCTCTGCAGCCATCACCTTCACACTCTCCATTCCTTTTATCAATGACCACCAAGACACTACTACGTAGAATGTATGACGTGGAGAGGTAAAACAGTACATTAAACCGAGTATTGTGTTTTGGTTTTGTGGGTGATTCGTTTGAAATATTATGAGCACCAGCCATCTTTCTAAGGCACAATTTTAAGTGAACATTGAAGACAACAACAGCAGGGAGATTATATTTGAACTCTAAAGAGAAATAAAAGTGTGGGACATACTTTTGCTTCAGCTTAACTACTGAAATGGGGCAATCCTACACACAACTATTCTCCCATTTCTTAACGCGGCATAACTAGACATTCAACGTGGCAGTTGTGCCTGTACACATCGGACGCACATAGAACAAACAAAGTGGCCAATTCACTTCCACCAATCAAATTCCCCCTACATTGTATTTGTTTGTAAAAATACCCTTTTGACGATATCTATGACGGCAAGGGTGACCTCTTGATCTTGTGGAAATTTAGAAAGTTACCCCGCCTCAAATATTCCAAAGTGTGTCAAGGCTAATTTACAAATTCAACCTTCTGCGAGACCTTGAAAACTACAAAACATCAGTAGTCTTTTAGTTGCCTTTTTGATTAATTTTTCTGAAAACTTTAGAATTATTGGGCTCGAGGGCAAAATACAGAAGGCTTGAAAATGGAAGCTGAGTCAAATCTTAAAAATTGCTGCTACTGAATTGCATGCAGGCAATATACAACACGTCGATTGCTTGTTTAACGCTTCGTTTTCGCGTCGCCCGCACTCGGGGGCTGCCTTCGTACTTCCACTTAGCTAAAATGGCCCCTGCAACATGGCACCTGCCCCCACACCTTCCTCACGTCAGCAACGCATATCCACTCCTAGCACTCCCACTTCTTTCATCGGCATGAAGGACTCAAAGCGACACAAATATTCGCCTGTTTGATAATGTCAGCTTCGCAATGAACCTTTGCACAGTTTCACCCGATCTTCAGGGTTTAGGTACCAGCATAGCTAGAAACTCGAGCTCTTTCAACAGGCAAACCGCAGGAGGTCATAGGAATGCAGAGAAGTTCCTTCACTACTCCCGTTTAACAGAAGTGTACATGTGGTGTCCCGAGTCATTCCTGAAGCCATAATACCAGGACGCAGAGAAGGGCGGAGGGGCTACTGCCATGGCCTGGAGGCCCTGTCCCCACTTCGACGTACAATGGCCGCGCCTTCCAGTGACCTCGCAAACAAAGCAAAGCATGACAAACAATCACAGTATTGCAATACCTAGGATGCATCTTCGGTCTCGTATCCCCAAAGTAGAATGCAGAAAGAATGCAAAAGGAC